GTACTGACATACTGAATTTTCTACCAGTTTCAAAGAAGGTTAACATTGAGGTTGGATTTAAGTTGAGTGATGGAAAATAACATTCTGTGATATTCCTTGTATATTTGAGATTGTAGACAAAGATTCAGATTGTCTGCAAACATGTTTGTGTATGCATATAAAGGGGTGAGGCAGAGTCCCTTCAAATTGTTATGAGAGATTCCCTCTGGGAAGGGGATGGGGCTGGAGGCTATTGCTTTTTTTTTTTTTAATAATTTTATTTTTTAGAGAGGTTTAARGTTCAAAGCAAAACTGAGCAGAGGGTGCAGAATTCCATATGTCCGCTGTCCCCACATGTGCATAGCCTCTTTCACTATCAACATCCTGATGGCATACATCTATCTATGGTTTTGGATAAAAGCATAATGACATGCATCGGCCATTATAGTGTCATACAGGATAGGTTCACTGCCCTGAAATCCTCGGCTCTGCTGGTCATTCTTCCCCCCTCCCACCCCTGGCAACCACTGATATTTTTTATTTTTTCCTTAATTCTGACTTTTCTAGAATGTCATAGAATTGGAATCAGTAAGCATATAGCTTTTTCAGATTCATTTAGTAATATGTATTTTAGGTTCCTCCATATTTCTTGTGTTTTCTTTTTTTTTTTTTTTTGTACTGGGGATTGAACTCTGGGGGTGCTTTACCACTGAGATACATCCCCAGTCCCTCAGTTTTTAAATTTTGAAACATAGGTTCTCACTACGTTGCTGAGGGTTTTGCTAAGTTGCCGAGGCTGGCCTCAAATTTGCAATCTTCCTATCTCAGCCTTCTGAGTCACTAGGATTATAGGTGTATGCCACTGCACCTGATTCTCCACGTCTCTTGGTGGCTTGGAACCTGGTTTATTTTCACCACGGAGTGCTATTCCACTGTCTGGATGTGCCACTGTTTATATATTCACCTATTGAAGGACATCTTGGTTGCTCCCAAGTTTTGGTAATTACATGGGAGCTGTTTTAACTTTATGTTTTTCCATTTTTATTGAATATGTTCAAGTATGTATCATTTTAGTATAAAATAAGGAGGCATATTCTAGAGTTACTATAAAGCACAGTTAAAAATATAGGGCTTTGTGGGCTGGGGATGTGGCTCAAGCGGTAGCGCGCTMGCCTGGCATGCGTGTGGCCCGGGTTCGATCCTCAGCACCACATACCAACAAAGATGTTGTGTCCGCCGAGAACTAAAAAATAAATATTAAAAAAAAATTCTCTCTCTCTCACACTCTCTCTTTAAAAAAAAATATAGGGCTTTCTCCACCCCTTTACTTGTGCTTTTTTACTTTGTTGGTTTTAAACAAACCACTTTGTGTTTTTTTTTTTTAAAGAGAGAGTGAGAGAGGAGAGAGAGAGAGAGAGAATTTTCAATATTTATTTTTTAGTTCTTGGCGGACACAGCATCCCCGTTGGCACGTGGTGCTGAGGATCGAACCCGGGCCGCATGCACGCCAGGCGAGCACGCCACCGCCTGAGCCACATCCCCAGCCCCCACTTTGTGTTTTAAAAATTTATGTGCAGATTAGGCAAACAGAATAAAGATCAAGACATATGGATATAAATGATATTATGCAGATTGTTACTAGACAAAAAACATTTTAAAATCTTTTTATTATCTTGTTTGTTCTGGGCACCAAAGAAAAACGGATTCATTCAATCTCCACCCATATCTCCAGAAAGACTACTTTTGAACTGCAGTTTATCTTTTCCCCTTTATTGTTTAGACTGAGAATTTGTTCAGAGAAGTTACCGACTTGCCTGAGGGTGTATAGAAAGAAAGTGACAGAGCTGAATTCAGAGCCTCCTGATTGTTGACATGGAGGATGGAGCCTGGTCCATATGTCCTCTTCCCTCTGTCACCTTTTACAACTGCTCCCTTCTGGCCTGCTCTGYTCCAGGAAGCTGATCCCAGAATCCCCTGCTATCCATTTGCTGAGGTCCATTAGGCCTGTTATCAATCATCCTGTTTGACTTCAGTCTATCCAACTGTCCTTAAAAATCAGCAACAGATCTCAGAAATCCCAGTATTTTGCCATCTGTGCTTGATTTCTCAGACTGTGTTTTGCTCCTGGAAATAGCATCAAATTTTGTGTGGGTGTTGTGCTGACTTGAGGTTTGGACAACACCCCTGTCCCATGTGCTGACCCACCACATACCCCTCTCTAGGCAGCCAGGTGGCTCCTCCCCAGACTGTGGCAATCAGAGAGCTTAGTTTTCCAAACTGTAGTCCACAGAAGGATGGATGGGCCAGGTCTGGCACCTGTTCCCTTTCTTCCTAGGACAGGTACTGGACCAGGTAACCTTCAGGCAGGATAATAGCACAGGATGGTCACACAGGCCAGTCTGAGGTCACTGCTCAGGCATGGAACCTGGATAAATAACTCAGTCTCCTGAAGTTTCCAGTCCCTTGCTCTTAAATTGAGGCTAATGATAGAAGCTGCCTCTGAGCTCTGTTGGGAGACCTCAGAGCCTGGACTCAGTGTGTGTGAGCGATCAGTCCTTGGCATTTCCAGTCTCCTTCTGGTTGGTGGGCTCACTCATCACCTGGTGGGGCCATGTCTGCAGAGAGCAGCACCATACCCAGCACCACCACCCTGTCCACCAGCAGCACCCCKGGGAAGCAGCAGGGTGGATCATTTGGTGTGAACCTTGTGATTTGTTTTAATAGGTCAAACTATTATCAACAGAAGCATCAGGGGACCAAGAGAAATGGCGTGTGGTGGACAGGTAATCCACTCTGCCCCCATACAGGTCCACGGCCTAATTCCTGGAACCTATGATATATGTTGCTTCATATGGCAAAAGGGACTTTGAGGATGTGATTAAAGATTTTGAGATGGAGAGATTATCTGGGAGGGCTATGTAATCTTAAGGTCCTTGAAAAGGAAAGAGCTAGGAGGGTGAGACTTAGAGGAGAGATGGGATGGTGGAAGAGGGCTAGAGTCAGAGAGATCTGAAGGTGCTACTGTCTGGTTTGGAGGTGGAGGAAGGGGCTGGGAGCCAAGGAAGGCAGTGGGCTCTTCAGGCTGCACAAGCCAAGGGAACAGGTTCTCCCCTGGAGCATCCAGAGTGAGCCCTTCCCTGGCCCTGCTGACACCTTGACTCTGGCCCAGTGAAATCCTTTTCAGATTTCTGACCTCTGAAACTGTAAGGCAGTAAAATCTATCTTATCCTGAGTCACTAAGTTGGAGGTAATTTGCTACAGCTGCCGTAGGAAATTAATGTGAGACATCTCAAAATGCTGGACTAGAAAGGCAGACCCGATGTTCACCTTGTTTTTGAATCAAGTGAATAAAATGGTCTTATCAGTAAGGCTTACACCAGTGGTGAATCATGCTGCCATAGTAAGGCCCACTGACTTTGAAATGTGGGATCATGGTTTTCTATGTGTTGACAAAGAGAGCAAGAGACAGAGAGAGAGAGAGAAAGAGAGAGAGAGAGAGAGAGAGAGAGAGAGAGAGAGAGAGAGAGAGAGAGAGACCTTTAAAAGGAAGTGTCCCAGTGCTTGGTGGTAAAACAAGGGATTTTACCTGGTCTCCTGTGAGGTGGCACCTGTGGGCTGATGGCGTTGGTTCCCATGATGACATACTCATAGTGAACTCCTGGGTTGGGTTGCTGGTGTATCATCTGATGGTAGAAATGTCAGTGTTACTGCTGTGGCACACATGTGCATCCCCTTTCCTGCTGACATGGGTTACAATAGTACGAGTGGTGCTATTGCCACATGAGAAGGTTCATTCACATCTAGTAATGTCAGTGACCCTGTGGCACATGAAACCAAGCTATTTCCAGAGGGCTTCTCATCATTTGAGGAATGAAGAACTTGATTCTTGAGCAGATCAGAAGCAAACTAGGCTGAGAGTCAAGATTTTTATAAATACCACCTAGGAAGCAGAACCTTTCTGTTGGCTGCCAGCCATTCTAGGCCATGGCTTTGCCTTTGCTCCGTGCTCCCTCTATGTTCCACATAGATAAATAAGTCTCTGCTGCAGGAGAACCTGTTTGAACACTAGGTGGTGAGACATACAAACAAGGATGAAACCTCCTTGGCAGAGCAGGCCTGGAGCATTACGTTTCTTTAAAGTCCTCTACTTGGTCAGGGAGACTAGCTCAAGTTTATCCCTTGTTGGCTTTCTGCATCCCACCCCTTTTTCATCTAGAATCACAAAGAGATGGGATCAGAAAAAAYGGTCATAAGGGAAGTAAGTTCTTCTTGGGTCATATTCTTTCAGGAACCAGTGACAAAGAGATAGGACAGCAAGCAGGAAGCTACTGGAAGTCAGCCCTGGAAGAGTGTCTGGGATGAGAACACATCTGTGAGCAGGRCCTGTGGAGGAAGCGCCCCCTATTGTCTTTGGAGCACAAAGTCCTCATGCCCGTTGCTGTCACCGGGGGAGGCAGGGCTTGGGCTCAATGAAGCAACAGAATGAGGATTTACAGTATTTGAGCCAAGCAAGGAAATGCTGCCATGTTTGACGAAGTGGCTGTCTATCTGGCCATCTGTGATCTAGAGCAAGTCTCTGAATCCCACCGTTTTTGATTTCTTCATCTGGAGAAAAGAGGAGGTAAGAGTCACAGTTGGTTTCTTAGGTCCTGTGTTCCCATGGTACCGCTGACTGGCTCCAGCACGGGGTGTTGGGAGTGTGAGGGGGTGGGGGTTCCTGTGCCTGTCCTTCATGATTATGTCATCATGCCATCATCTCTCACCCCCTGCCTCCTTGTGGAGTGGGTCTCCATCCCATCAGTCACCCAGAGGTAGGCCGACATGAAAAGCACTGGGCTTCCTACATCTTGAACCCATCCCAACTCAGGGCTGTTGTGTGGGAATGTGGTAGTGAGCACAGAGCCCTGAAGGACACAGTGGTGTGACTGTGGGTTCCTGCTCTCTACCCCATCCCCCTCACCTACACACTCTGTTACTGCCCCCATTCCTCTCGTGCCTCTTCTGCCAGTCCAAGCCTTATCCTGTTTATGAGATTATTGTTGGCCGCCTTTCCAAGACCACCCACAGCAGGCCTTTCACAACCCCAGTCTCTGATACAATTTCAAATTTAACCAGAGTGAACCCACCAAGTGGATAGCTTAAAAAAAAAAAAAAAACCCAAATTGACTATAACAAGGCTTTCTTTGTAATTTCTAGTCCACTACATAGACCCAAGAGGAATGGACACAGAACTGTAGAGTTGAAGAAATAATCACAATGCAATTAATTATATTTCTAAAACTCTGACACAGCAAATATTATGTAGACCAGCAAGGCTCTGGGGACAGAGTACGTATATTTATTGGTGAGTTCATTCATTCTTTTTATTTATTTATTTTTTTTGTGAGCTCATTCTTTTTATCCAAACATAATTTTAAGCTTTTATTTCTGGTCATCCTTTATTTCCTGATCTTTTCAGGAGACTGGATTCTAGTTGTTTCTTTAAAAAAAATAGGGATCTTTTAAAACTGTTTGGCAACTTGATATTCTAGTTTTAAATAAAGTAGACTACAGTTCTCCTTTGTGAAGCGGGGAACTTCTAGTAAACCTCGAGACTGTGGCTCTAAGCTTTATCGTTTCATCTGGAGGGGGTCTGGAGCGCTGGATTCTTCGTTTGCTTTAGCAGAGTTTGAAGAGGGCTGGGAGCTGGGAGCGGTCTTGCATTTGACATTTGCTTTCTTTTGCCGTGAAAAGAAAACATGCCAAATTAGCGTTAGGAGGGAAGTGCCTGGAGGAGATCCAGTGTTCATGAAATAAAGGATATGTTTGCCTCTGATTTGGTTCAACAAGTAAAATTGGTTTTACTGGGTCAATAAACGCTGAGAGTACCAAGCATCTGGTAGAGTTTAAAGTTTCCATGAGCGGGGTACATTCAGGGGTAAATGACAGCGTTGAAGGGGTACCTCCAACCAGCTCCACGCAAACGATTTTATTGAGCCCGAGGAATGATTTATTGCTTATTTGCCCTAAGTGTGTTCTTTGGAAGCAACCAGATACAAAATCTAGAGAACAGCCCAGAACCATCTCTACTCACATAGACATCCAAGATTTCGTTAGTGGGACCTTCGGCCAAAAAGGACTCGCCAGCAGTGCTCGAGATCTCATTGGGACGCTTGTAGGTGAACATGGTCCCTCCGCCCTCATACTTTCCAGGACGGTCAATCGCCCAGTTCCCATTGATGATGGAGCGGCCAGAACGACTTCGCAAGGCTGTGGAGAAAAACGAGAGCCCCTCGGATGAGTCCCTCAGATCAGTCCTCCAGAAACTGAACCCACCTCCCCAGCTGCTGGCCTCTTCCCCCGTCCAGGGTTTGTCATGGTCCTCTCTGTGCCGCGTTCTTCCACACCCCGGACCAGGGCCAGGTGTGGAGAGTCTTTAACCTGCTCCGTTTCCCTCTACCACTTGGACTTAGTGTAGGCCCAGAGGATGGGAGTGGTTAGGAGAAAAGAATGCAGAAAGGGAAAAGGAAAGAAGAAAGTTAGGGGTGGGAGACAAAAAGAGGGAGAAGGCCACGAAGTTGTATTGTATGCCATTATCTAGGTGAGAGGTCGCATGTGGGCCACCCAGTTGCTGATTTTAGCCTGTAGATGGGCTTGATGTGGCTTATGTAGTCTTTTTCTTTCTTTCTTTCTTTCTTTCTTTCTTTCTTTCTTTCTTTCTTTCTTTCTTTCTTTCTTTCTTTCTTTCTTTCTTTC